ATTCTCTTTTCTATCACTGTTTTTAGTTTCTCTTCATGGTATCAAAGCAGTGCATTATCTGCATCTGAATACTTTGATCCTTCTTGTCTTCCAAACCAACCGTCCATTGAACTTTATAGCAAATATTGCTAGCATTAATTCAATCATGGCTAAGAACAAGAGCATGCTTATAATCCGAAGCTTCCATCAAATGGCAAGTTTCGTTCCGTGAAGCTGCTAAGTACCAATTTTTTACTTTGGAAATCACAGATTTTCCCATTTAGAAGAAGCGCTCAACTCATGCACCACCTTGAAGAAGAAGCTCCAACAATGAGGGGTACCAAAGACGGTGAGGAAGTACCAAACCCAAACCGTGATGTCTGGCTTAACAATGATGGATTACTGACCAATTGGCTCCTCGGCAGAATGAATGAGGAAGCACTCAACTTGGTGGTTGGTTGTGACACACCTTTTCAAATCTGGAAGTGTCTTGAGGAACATTATCTAGCTTCAACAAAGGAATAAGAATTGCAGCTCAAGGAGCAGTTAGCAACCAAAAGAGGAGATAATGAGTCACTTGAGGATTTCATAAGGAAATTCAAAGGGACCTGTGATAGGCTTGCTGCAATCAACAAGCCCCTTGATGACCTAGACAGGGTTCTCCAATTATCCAGAGTTGTGGGAATAAGATACCAGCCTTACAACCTTGCTGTTTTGTCAAAAGCACCATATCCCACCTTCAACCAGTATATTGTAGGATTGCCAAATAATCAAAAGGATATGCAAACTACAAGACAAGAAAGCAAAGACAAGACTCCAATATATGCTCAAGTGTTTGTAGCACAAAGAAGAAGAGGTAATCGAGGTAGAGGATATGGTACTAGGAATTTCAATTCTCGTGGAAAAGGTTTTGTCTAGGCGAGAAATTACAATCATAATTGGATCAAAAATAGCATAAACAACTTAACAAACCATAATCCATCACCTCAGAAGGCCATTCATAAAAAATTTAAGCAGAAAAATACAACACAAAAAGGTGAGAACCCTTGTCAAATATGTGGGATTACAGGACATATAGCACTAAAGTGTTGGCATAGGTTTGATCATGCATATCAAAGTGAGGGGCTACCACAAGCACTTGCAACACTCACAATGATGAAGGACAGAGATCAAAATGTCTACATTGACACTGGTGCCACTGATCACATGATTGCAGATCCAGGTAAACTTTATATCAAAAGACCCTTCATGGAAATCAAAGAGTTTTTACGGGTGATGGCACCCCATTACAAATTTCACATACTAGTAAAGCATTCATTGGTTCTTTAAAGCTAAATGATG